GGGGGGGTCAGGGAAGGTGGCTGTGAGGGTTCGGCGCGACGGGAGGTGCCGTGAAGGGAGATGACGGACTGGGGGGCCGTCCGGTGGCTGGCTGGGATGGTCTAGCGGTCTCGCGGGGCTGTCTACGAGCGGTCGCCGATCAGGAAAGAGTACATCGCGTTCAGGTAGAGCGACCAGACCGTCTGGTCGGCGAGCACCTGAGGCGTGGGGCACGTCCACCCAAGTCGGGGACACGTCCAGTGGAGATGGGGGACACGTCCAGTGGAGATGGGGGACATGTCCACCACAGGAAGAAGGATGCCGCAATGGAAGACACTGACCTCTAATTGGCGACCACCCGACGCGCCCTATGTCTCGGCTCTCGGCTATCCCTCGGCTGCCTCTCGGCTGTCCCTCGGCTGTCCCTCGGCTGCCTCTCGGCTGTCTCTGGGCTGCCTCTGGGCTGCCTCTCGGCTGTCCCTCGGCTGCCTCTCGGCTGTCTCTGGGCTGCCTCTCGGCTGTCTCTCGGCACCTTGACGCCGGTGCCCCACCACGCTCCTCCAAAGTCGAGGTACTGCTCCATCGTGAGCATCCAGTAGTGGCAGAGCGGGCCTACGGGGGGACGCGTCCGGGACACGTCTGGGACGGGCAAACACGCCGTCGCGAGAGCCGCGTGCGGCGGAGCGGGCCGTGGCCGATGAAGCCTGCGGCGCCGGAGCGGAAGGAGCGGGGCAGGTCGAGAGAGGCGAGGGTGCGCCCCTGGTAGATTTGGGAGACAAAGTCGCCGAAGGTGTACGCGACGCCAGAGGTGCACGCCTGCGGGTGAGTGGCGCAGGCTGGCCGGAAATGTCCGAGAAGGGTCTGCGAAAGGCCCGGAAGAGCAGAGGTGGCGATTGCAAAGGAGGGCGGCATCGCGCCGCCGGTGGCGCCGGGGCGGCACGGGCTTGCAAAAGACCGGGCCGCATGGGCGTGGTGGAGCCTCGCTCGCACGGCACAAGCGGAGAGCGCTAGAGGCGGGTGGCAGAGGGTGGCTGAGGGTGGCAGAGGTGCGGGCCTTGTAAAAGACGGGGTTGGTCGGCACCAGCGCCTCGTACTGGTGCAGCAGCTCGCCTGAGGACATGTCTCGGACATGTCTCGGACATGTCATGGACAGCGCCTCGTGCTGGTGCAGCAGCTCGCCCGGTAGGCGGAGGATCAGGTCGAGTG